GAAGAAGAGAGGGGGATGCAGGGAGCCCTGTTGAGCCCAGAGAAGAAGAACTGACAGATATCTGCATAGGTAGAATGGCCCGGATGCTGACCACAGGGAGGGCACCAGGGTAGAACACACTGGTGTGAGCCAAACAGCATGGTTGAAACTGCTTTTAAAAAGTCCATGCTGTCAGATTCACACTTGCTTTTTAGAACTTTGGGAACGTGCAGAGCTGGGTGAGGCCCTGCCTGCCTTGTCACAGATGAGAGCGATAAGAGCAGTATCAGCAGGCGGGCATTATGGAAACTGGTCTACCTTCTCTGTTGTTTCTGGTCTTTTTCCGTGTGTGGAATGTCTAGGCATCTCTCACCCTCTTGTTCCCCTGCCGACTCACCTGCTGGTCCAGGGAGCCCTTCCGTCCACCTGGCACTTTAGGGCCAGTCCTTAGCCAAGGCACAGATGCCCCTTGCTGCAGACCTGGGAGGACGCCTCTCCATGGGAAGCTCCAATCAGATGTGTCTTGGCTGCAGGGCCCAGGCAGCTGGCCAAGAAGGGCCGGAAATGCTCCAAATACTCTCCTTCCTCCAATAGCTAAGGGGAGGGCGGCCCCTCAGAGAGGCCATTTTATAGTGAGAGCCAGACTAAACTCTTTGCTGTTGGGGGGATGGGAGATGGCAGGGAAGGAAGTACTTTTGAGGGATGAACCAAGAAAGCATCCTTCCACATGAATGGGCTTGTTAAAATCTGATAGCCCGAGAGCTTGCCTTCTGCTGAATCCCAGGCGGATGTGTGAGGAGTTCCTTTGCTGGGACACGAAGCTGTGTTGTTGGCAGCGGTGATATCTGAACCTGACCTTCAGAAGAAGGTTAAAAATAGTGTTGTCCTGGAAAAACCAGTCTTCATCTGCGTGCATGTGCCCATGTGTGTGTGCGTGTGCGTGTGTGTGTGTCCACATGTGCGCCAGCTGCTTAAGAAGCAGAAGCAAATACTGTCCCCATCTGGTGCTTCTTGGGGACAGCAGTGGTAGACACAGAAGAAGGCCTACCTCGAGGGGAACAGATACACCTGCCCCCTGGTATGTTCAGAATACCAGTGAGGGCATGTGCAAGCTGGAAAACTACTTTTGTAGTGTGATTGGGAAAAGGTGGAGGGGTTGTTCATGATCTGAGTTTTCTCTGGCACCTTTCTTTCCCCTTCTGTTCTCAAGCTTAGCTGGATGAGGGGGTGGGAGAGCTCCTGCCTTCTGTTGCTGGCCTCCTTGGAATGAGGTCCACAGTGTTGCCAAGTAGTGGTCATCTCCCTGAGATAACCAGTAAAAACTAGCACTGCATTTAGCTTTAGAGTTTGCACAGTGCAAACAGTAAGTTTTGTTTATCCTTTGAGTCAGGAGTGAGGCTCTGCTGTTGTCCCAGTTACTGGATGAGGAAGCTAAGGCACAGAGAGGTGGTGTGGCTGAGTCAGTCGCTGGCAGAGCCTGGACGCTGGCCCAGGTGATCCTCAGAGGGAAGATCTGCCATGTCTGCCCTGCTCTTCACACCCTGCCTCAGTATGAAGCCTTGTAGCAGGGAGCTGGGGAGTGGTCTGGCTTGCTTGTCTTCAGCCACCTGCTCCCTTTCTGCTTAAGCCAGAGCTCCCCCCATTAGGTCTCTGCTGGTCTCCTAATCCAGCCCCAATCCAGATGTTTGCAGCAGAGAAAACAAATGAACATCAGCAGCAGATCAGGAAGATAAAGGGAGAGCAGCTGATTATGGGGCAACATGGCACCCTCTGGAATCCTTCCCTCCCTCGTGGGGAAACCGTGTGCAAAGCAGTCCTCTTGACCTCTCAGTCCTCTTGTGCTCAGTGTTCCTCTCCTGGAGATGGGGGGCAGTGGCCTGCACATGGCTAACAAGGACACAATGCTGAGGGCTGCCTGAAAGGAGCCCTTTCAAAGGCTCTTTGACACAAGTTTCAGACCCCACTCTGGTGTGTGTTCCCTCCTCACCCTTAAACCCACTGAACAAAGCAGTCTTGGACCAAGCTTCCTCCCCTATTGTCCCCCTTGATCTCCCAGAGATATCCGCCTGTCAGAGCAGGTGCAGGGCTAGGGCTGGGGTGAAGCGAGCCCTGGAAGGTAATCCCAGAGCCTTGTACCTTTCATAGCCTGCTCAAGAGGACAGCAAAGAAGAGGGGCTGGACCCCAAATTGATCCCTTACCAGCCCAGCCTGGAAAGGAGTAGAACAGACATGCTAAGAGACCTTGAGAGTGCCCACCACCTCCCAGGTGTTGGAGGAGGAAACATTTGCTGAGCCTTCGGGACCCCTGTGGGGAAGAGGCTAAGAGCCCTGGCTCTGGGTTCAGGCAGGTCTGTGTTCAAATCCTGCCTCTGCCATCATACTACCTGTGTAACCTCAAGCATGTTACTTAACCTCTCTGTGCTTCAGTTTCCCTTTCCTAAAATGGGGAATTATTGCCTACACATGTGTTTGTAGTGAGGAATAAATGAGGTAGTGACATCAGTGTCCTGACACAGACCTGGCACATCCCTGGTGCTCAGTAAACATGACCAAGGCCTAGATAGAATAAGGGGCTTGGTGCTCACATCCTTCAGAGCCTACCCTTTTCTCTTGACTTAAGGGAAACTTTTTCTAATTCTCAGCTGTTGCAAACCAGGGAAGGCTTCTAGAGGTCCTGAATGTAGAGTGGCAGATGCCCTGGAGGCCCCAAGTCATTGACCGCAGTCAAAGTTGTTGAGCATCTGCTATGCAGAGGGCCTGAGGCCGGTGAATGTACCAACCAGACTGGGTACCTTTCCCCTGTGAATTCCCAGAGGCAGTGTTTGTGCAGGTGAGGAGGACAAAACAGCCTGGAGAGGGTTGAGAGAAGTGGGGCCCCCGCAGCAGAGGGCCTGTTAACACTCTGTTTTTGAGAGGGTCCTCGTGCCCTGCAGAGTTGGAACCAAGCCGAGGAGCCCCGCCTGGCCCCACCCTGGCAAAGCTCCCAAAGGCTGGGGCATTTCTGGCGGTGGGCTTCCCTCAGTGGCACCAGCAAGGCCTCTCTGGGGCGCAGCCAGCTGCCTGTTTGACCCTCCTGCCTCCCAGGGTCACTCGGCCTTCACAGTGTCTGTCACTAAGGTGCTGAGGGTGTTCTTGACAGCCCTTCAGGACAGGCTTGGGCTGTGTGGCCTTTTCAGAAAGGCCCCATGCCTGTCGTAAGCCCCTGATTGTGGTTCTGTGTGAAGAAACTATAAACCAAGGGAAAAGTGATGGCTCAGCTTTGGAGCTTTGTATGTTTGAGTCCCTGGGCTTGGAATTGAGTGTGGGCTGTGCAGGCAGGTGGAGAAAGTGATCGAGAGCTCTCCTGATTTCGGTTCAGGTTATTTATTAGGAAAGAGTCCAAAGAACTTCCATCGTGCCATCTTAATGCTGGGCTGAGCTCTAATGCTTGTCTTCTTAGTTAAGGGGCATTGGGTGGGCAGGTTCCAGGGAAGACCCAGTGCAGCATCTTCCTTCGGGACGAATTCCCCAGTCCTGGGAAGTCTGGGCTGAGAGCTCAGGAGTGCTGTCCCGGTTTTTAGGCTAACAGCTGGGGCGGCCTGCTCATTTGCTACAAGGTTTCTAATGGTCATACTAGTGTCAAGAGCTCTGGCCTAACCCAGGGAGGGGGCAGAGGGAGCAAGCTCTGCACTGAGCAGGGTGCCTTCCGCCTTTCTGTTGAGTCCCCTGAGTCCCCTGTGCTGGGGCTGCGTCTACTGCCACCTGACTGAGCGCTGGTCCAGCCACATCAAGGAGAGCAGAGTTTGGTTTTCTCTCCTCTCCAGGGGTACAGGCAGTCCAGCAACTGGGTGTTAAGTAGCTCTCCCATCGCCTTCTGCACAGAGCCCCCTCAGTGTGTGGCATGCTGAGGACTAAGCCCCCACCACACCGCCTTCCCCTTCTCAAAGGAAAGGTTGACCTCAGTGCATGTTCTGTTTGCCTTCCCCCCATCCCCGAGACAGAGATGTCTCCGGAGTCTGTTTTCCTGCGCAGAGGAGTGGGTTTAATCCTTAGGCCTCTCCTGCTCAGGCCTGGGGAGACCTGTGGCTGAAGACCATTCCGGCAGCAATTGTGCAGCGCCACCTCCTGGCCGCAGCACCCATCGTGTCCTCCTCTGGTTCAACAGTTGCCAGAAAGTTCATCTAAGAGCAAAAGAACTTGAAAGAGATATTCCGAAGTCCATTTTCTGGCTAATGCTGCAGTGCCCATAGCTTTTTGTATCAGTTTGGCTTTCCTGGGGCTGCCTCTCTCCAGAAATACATTCGTATTGTCTTAAGATAGCTTCGTATGTATTTCCAAAGCCTGAAGCGTCAAGCCCCAGGGCTAAGCAGCTGCAGTCTGGAAGCAAGGCCATAGCTTAGAAGGCAATACTGCCCCAGGGGCTCACATGCCTGGGCTTACCGTCCTTGTGTCTCTGAGGGGATGGAGTAGGAAGGACAGTGGTTTACAGAGGCAGGAGGAGGGGCTCACTGTTCTGTGGGGCTGCAGCTGTTCTGTTTTCTAGGCTGCTGCTTGTAGTCTGGGTTCACGTCTGCTGCCACTGACCCCACATCTGGGGAAGCTGACCTTGCCCAGAGCAGCAGCTCCATTAGAAGGGGCCCAGGTTACTCCCTTGTCTAGAATGGGTGGTTCTTCTGGGAGCTGGTGTTAGGAAGGATTTTTGTTTTTGCTAATTGAGTTCGGTGAATTAATTTTGTGCTGCTGCCAGAGCAGCAAGACCCCTGGATTCTATACCCGGCCCCAACTTTGGAATGTCCCTCCCCTACCATGGAATGAAGCAGATTCTCTGCAGCTCATTTCCCAACAAGACAGTTGGGGTTCCTGCTGTTCCTGCTTTAAAGAGATGGAATAAGCATGTACGCCTCACTGTTGACTGTGTTTGGTGGTTGGCCAAACACACGTGTGCCCTGGTGGAGCCTACAGACTAGAAGGGATATGGCCTGGTGGGTGCCTGTGGGCCCAGACACCCTGTGCCTAATGCCTCATCATTCCCTCCACTCCAGGCCTGGTCTCCAAGTCCTCTCCCAAGAAGCCTCGTGGACGTAACATCTTCAAGGCGCTTTTCTGCTGTTTCCGTGCCCAGCATGTTGGCCAGTCAAGCTCTTGCACTGAGCTCTCCGCATACAAGGAGGAAGCCAGCACCATTGCTAAGGTACCTGATCAGGGTGGTGTGATGGCAGCAAGGAGGGGCTGCCGGCAGGGGTCTCTGCACCACAGCATGTGGGCGAGGTAGCGTTGCCGGGGACACAAAGATCTCTGGCTTGGGGGAGGCCCTTCCTCTTCTTTCCTGTGGTGGTCCAGCTCCTTGCTTGCCTCCTGTTGTGATGTGGGCCATCCAATGTCCCTGTCGTTTTAGAGGTCCCTATGGTCCAGATCCTTTGAGGTCCCAAGTGCTATGCAAGGTACTCATGGGAGCCATATACCAGCCCTGCAGGGGGAGTCACAGGGTTCGCACATAAACAGATGTGAAAACTGAGGCCCAGCAGGTTTATATAGTCCTGAAGAATTAATGGTTAATAAATGGTTCTTTGGGAGTTTCATGGTTCAGTCTCATGCCTCTCTGGCTGTAAATTCTGTGTGTGTTGTTGTGTTTTCACTGTGCAAAGCTACCTTCCGAGGTACTTGACGCTCAGGAACCGAGAAACTGAATTTCTGCCACACTCTGATAACCTCTTCCAGCCCTCTCACCTGTTTCTGTGAGAGATATTTGGAAATGTGTGGGTGTCCTCAACTCTCACAATGATAGGAAGATAATGTCTGGCATTTCAAGGGTGGGGACAGCCCAGAGCCAAACCCCCCTCTGCCACTGGAACTCTGTGCTGAAACACCAGGGTCTAGCTGATCCTTCCTGTCTCTCAAAGCCAGGCTGAGGACGTGCATCACATGAAAAATACTTCATTGCTCCATTGGGGGAAATAAAAAAATAAAGCATGATGTGACAGCAGTGCTGAGCAATTAGTTTTACAAGGAGTTCACAGTAACATGGAAGAATATTGAGTTGCAACTTTAAGTCAAAAAGCAGAATGCAGAATTGTGTATGATAGGAAAAAAGACTGTTAAAACAAACTTGAAGGAAATACACTAAATGTCAGCAGTAAGTTTTTCAAAGTGCCAGGGTTTCCATTTCTAAGGGGTTTCCATTAAAAACACTTTATTTTACAACCACTAACAACATTTTTGCTACTAGCAAAAGGTGGGGGAAGCCTTTCTGATCTCTCTGCACTCCACCTCTTTCCCATTTTAGGACCCACGCTTGTTCACTTGGGCTTCTATAACGTTTTATAGGGGCTCAGCACCCACCCTCCCCCAGTGTATCCCTGCAAGGTGGGTATAGAAAACACGTTCTCAAAGAGAAGGCTGGGCTCCAGGACTGAAGGCGGCTAAGTCACCACAGCGGAGTTCTGATTTTGGTTCTGCCTCTGCCCCCACTACTGGGGTTCCCTGTCCTCAGTTTGTCCCACTGATGGGCAGCAGAAGCTGAGAACAGGGACACTGCCTTCTCTCTCCTTCATCAGGTCTGGGTGCAGAGGATGCTCTGTCCTTTCCACTTCCCTGCCCAGCTCGTAAGAAAAGTCACTTTTGTCCTGTAGGACCTTCTAGGGGGCTACGGTCTTAGGGAAGAAATTACCCTCCAGGCCCGGGACTGATGCCGGGGGGCTTTAGATGGGCGGGGACAGCAGTGGCAGATTGACCAACCAGCTCCTTTTCTCTCACAGTCGGATCTGCTGCAGTGTCTCCAGTACCAGTTTTATCAGGTATGTGGATCATACAGGGTATGTGCTCAGCAGCCCAAGGCCCAGTGACCTCTGCTACTGTTGTGGAATGATGTACTCCGCCAGAAGGTGCCTGCTGGCCACCTCCCCACCCTGGGAAAGCATTTGTTCCAGATATTTGCTGAGGGCCCACTGCAGAAAGGGCATTAAGTTTCAAGGGGACAGCTGGTGTCCATCCCACACCAGCCCTGGACTCTGTCTCCATTGTCCAGGTCACCTCATAGTCCCAGTGGGAGGCTGAAGGCAAGAAGCCAACTCTGTCTCTTTTTTCTCTACCTCTCAGCCTTCAAGTGGCACCTCTCCCAGGTTAAAGTTAGGGGTTCTCCATGTCCTGGATGTTGCTAGCTCTTCCAGGGTTCTGCTGAGGGGAACAACTGGGCTTCCTTGCTGGCAGAGCTCAGCAGCCTAGCTCTGGTTTTAGATCCCAGGGACCTGTCTGCTCCCAGAGGTGACAGAAGAAGATCAAGGAAGGATCTGCGTGGTGATTGACTTGGATGAAACCCTTGTGCACAGCTCCTTTAAGGTAACTCAGCATTTGGCACTCTCCTCCACCTGTCTTGGGCTGTCTTGTGAGCTTGACGGTGCTGCGAGACAGCTGAGGTGATTCTAGAACATGATTAGAAGAGGGAGGGCTTGTTCTCTGGCATTTTGACCACACTAGCCTCACAAATTTTCTGGGGAAAACTCTCCCCCATCCAACCACTGCCAACAGGCTGCAACCCCCCCCGACCCATACCCAGCCCAGGGAACTGCCAGGGCTGTGTCCAGAGCAAGCCCAAGAGGAGTTGAGTCAGCCTTGCACCTTGCTCCTCTTTGTTTTCTCAAGATGTTTGATAACTCAAGGCCCTGAGACCCTCAGCTCAGGTAGAATTTGGGGTAGGGGCTGGTAGGTAGGGAGGCCCAGAGGCGCTATGGCATTCTCTCCTGGGGAGAGGAGCTTCCTGGAGTCTCTAAGCTCTGTTCCTCCCCATCCCTCCCAGGGGGAGGGGCAGTGGCTGCAGCACATTTTGGGGTGTGGCCCAGGCTTCTGGCCTCCTTCCCACTGCTGACCTGAGGAATTTTTCTGCCTTTCAGCCAATCAACAATGCTGACTTCATAGTGCCTGTAGAGATTGAGGGGACCACTCACCAGGTGAGCTGCCTGCCAGGCCACACCCAGCCCAGAGGGCTCAGGGGCCCTGCCCCCCTCACGGCTTGGTTCCATCAGTTAATACCTTTTCTGCAACTCCGGCCTCTCCTTTTTTATTGCTACCTTTCATACTCACCACTTTTCTCATCTTAAAAACAAAAATTTAGCCCCTCATCCCTCTCTAGCTGTTTTATCTTTTTCCTTTTTTTCTCTTTGCAGCCAAGTTGTTCCAAACTAAGTATTATTATTTAGTAATAGTACTAGCTATCATTTTCTGGTTACCTGGCTCCTCCCCCACCCTCCCTCAGTGTGGCCAGCCCATTATACGGTTTACTACTTTTTCTCCAATCCTGAATAGCTGGGGTCTTGGCTTGTTGCAGTCAAGGAAGCCACTGCTAGCCCTAGTCCCTCTTCCCCATACCACCCAGTCCATCCAGCTAGCAAAGTTCTTCTCCCCCTATCAGGCATGTCCTTGTGAAGCCTTCTCCAACTCTCCTCCCTTGGGTCCCTACACTGGCTTCTGCCCCAGTAAATGCTTACACACATCTATCAAAGAGCACTTGAGTCTAAATAAGCTCAGGCTCTGCCCTTGCATAACCTGTTCAGTCCAGGGTTAGGGATCATATGGTGTTGATAGTAAAAAACCATTTACTTAAAACACTTGTGCGAAAATTCCTCCCAGCCAGCCTGCGAGTAGGACCATTGGAAACTGCCCTCATAGCCCTGATATTTGTTTGCATGACCTGCTCAAACAGAAGAGCTGTTACTGTAGGGAAATGCTTCCGTGTGTGTTCATCACTGTCCTGTGCCTATTAGAAGCTTTCCTTTACCACCACTGCCTCTCCCAGCTGAGGTGCTCTGCCAGCCCAGCACTGGCCCTTGCTCAGAACAGGCTTGGCCCTGGGACTGCCCAGCCTCGCCCCCACAGCCACTAATTGACAGTATAGAGATGTACAAAACCCACAGGAAAAGATGAAAGCATATTTTTGAACAGGCAAAATATATACTGTGAACCCCTCCCTAGTTAATGAGAAGAAGACTAAATAATGAAAAAGGAGTGAGATGAAAATGAGGGGGGCCACCGGCAGAAGGTGGGTTTTTGGCAAAGAGTGGTGAGGGGATGCCAAGCTTGCTGAGTAGCCAGGCAGAGGGAGGGACTCATCAAAGGTTGAAAAGACAGCAAGTGAAAAGGAGCCAAGCTGTGGCTGTCGGCCAGAGGTTTCTGCTGCAGAGCCAGGAGGGGTCTGCGGAGCTGGTTGAGGCCCCTTCTGGGGTGGAGAGGCACAGCAGGCCGTGTGCGCTTTGAGAGGGAGTGACATGATGAAACGACGCTTTGGGCGAGTAGTTCTGGTAGCACCTGGGTAGGCTGGATGGGCGGGGAAGAAGCAGGAGGGGGAAGCGTGGAGCACAGACCTGTCAGACCTGTGGCCTGTGAACCTTGTAGGCCAAAACATGCAAGCTCACAAAAGGTACATGTGAGTGTTAGGGTGGCTGGCCCAAAATGGGTGGAGGGTGCTAGAGTGAGATGCCGAGTGTCTGACCTGCAGTCATTGAGGGAAAAAGTCACTTCTCCCTGCTGCATTTCAGAGAAGCTCTGTCAGGGCGTGAGGTTTGGGGGAGTCCTTGGCCTTGCCTGACTGTGACCTGGACAGACTGCCCTGCCAGAGCCAAGGACAGGAAGCTCCACGGAGGCTGTGGCTGGATTCAAGTAATCCAGGATAGGCTATTTCCATCTGTGAGGCCTATTCTTGATTACTTGTTTCTGGAGGCAGCTGATGGTTCACCATGGGAAACAGATGGCTCCTGGGACATAGGTATGTGCGCTTCTTCCCAGTCTGGGTCAAGGTTGGACCCCCAAACCAGCAGAAGCCTGGTGAGGGGTGATGCTAGGGTCCTGGTCTGCAGGGCAGAAGCTGGGGGGGAGTCTGGACAGAGTCAGTCAGAACCTACTTGCTGCCCTCTGTGGAGGGGGCAGTAACAGCACTGTGATGCTTCCCTCGCGGGGACGCCGCCAGCAACCCAGCATCTTCTCCTCAGGTCTATGTGCTCAAGAGGCCTTATGTGGATGAGTTCCTGAGACGAATGGGGGAACTCTTTGAATGTGTTCTCTTCACTGCCAGCCTGGCCAAGGTACTTGGGGACAGGAGGGAGTCGGGAACTGGGACCAGGTGTGGTGGCTACAGGGGTGGTCCAGCAGCTCCTTGCTGGCCCACTGGACACCCCAGGGGAGCCAGGACTGCATCCAAACAAAGGCGTCTTCTCCTCTCCAGTATGCCGACCCTGTGACTGATCTGCTGGACAGGTGTGGGGTGTTCCGGGCCCGCCTCTTCCGTGAGTCCTGCGTGTTCCATCAGGGCTGCTATGTCAAGGACCTCAGCCGCCTGGGAAGGGACCTGAGGAAAACCCTCATTCTGGACAACTCGCCCGCCTCTTACATCTTCCACCCAGAGAATGCCGTGAGTGTTCCGGGCCCCCACACTGCAGGGCGGGGGAGGGCAGCGGCAGTGGAGCCGGGTTTTAGCAGAGGAGTGCAACACCACGGGTGGGCCCAGCCAACCCTGGCGGCTCTGGAGCAATGGAGGGCAGAACTGGCAGTCAGGAGACTTACGCCACCTTCTCCCTGCCCCAGGTGCCCGTGCAGTCTTGGTTTGATGACATGGCAGACACTGAGTTGCTGAACCTGATCCCAATCTTTGAGGAATTGAGTGGAGCAGAGGATGTCTACACCAGCCTTGGACAGCTGCGGGCCCCTTAGCATTCCCTTCTTCCAAACAACAGCCATCCCAGTAGGGGACTTCCCTACACTGTGCCTTTATGATCAGCCTGACAGACGGAGCGGCAATAGAGCATCTCACCAAGCGGGGCCTGGAAATGGAAGTGATAGTAAAGGGCTTTAGGACAGGTTAGATGTTAAGTGGGCAAATACCAGCTGACAATACCGAGAGCTGCCTGCTCCCTGAATTGGGCTCCCAAGATTGTGTGTATGTATGTATGTGTGTGTGTGTGTGTGTGAGAGAGAGAGGAGAGAGAGGAGAGGGAGAGAGTACATGCGTGTCTTGCCTTGAGCGATGGATGTAAGTTGTTTCAGGTTCAGGGAGAAGCTGAAAGACCAAGATTCTCTCCAAGTTCATCTCCCCTCCGGTCCCCCTGAGAGCCACTGAGCCCTGTTGGGATGAAGACTTTTGAAGGTTCTGTTGCCAAACCCATGGCCTTTCCGCAGTGTTGTAATGCCACGGGAAGAATGCCTTCGTTGACCCCAGGCACTCACCTTTCTAAACCGTTTTCCAGCCAGCTGCTGTAGACAGATGGCATTTCTGGAAAGATGAAAGCTTGTGTCCAGAACTCGTTCCCAGTGGCCATCAAGTCCTGTGGGCCAAGGGCAGCACCTGCCTCCAGCCAAGTGCCAACGTGAGCCCTTTCTGTGTCTCCCCAAGGCTTGGGTACCGGGCCTGCCTTCCTCACCACCTAGCCATAGTCTTGAACCATGGGGAAGGATGTCTCCTCCCTGCTATGGAAGAGGACAGATAATTGATTTCCGTTCTTTTGACTCTGTTTTAAAATTCTCTTTCTGAACATGGAGTGTGGGACCTGTTTTGTTTCTGACAGCTGTGGTCCTGAGCCTGAGATGGAGGTGGGAGGCCCTGGGGCGCAGGAAAGAGGAAGATGTGGGAGCATGGTGTGTATCCTTCAGCTGGTAGGTCCGCTGAGCTTGGGGCTGTGTCCCTCAGCCCGCTCTGCAGGGACTCTGCTTTTGCTGGCGAAGGGCTGGTGTCCAACGTGCAGGAAGGGTGCTCTGCTCCCTCCCTGGCGCTCTGTGGGCAGGGCTCTTTGCTGTCTTCCCCTGACGCCTGGCTTGTGCCAAGTGGGCGTTCTGCTCCAGTGCTCATCCCACCTGGCTGTTGCTTTTTCTCTCCGGGGCCTCAGAGGTAGACCTGCTCTGCCCAGGCTGAGGGGATGGGGGTTCCGTCGTCCAGCTTGCCAGGCTTGCACACCTGCCCCTGCCCTGGGTACCAGGTGTGAGTGAGCCCTCTGCACACCTTTGTCAGTCTTTTGCTTTCAGTGTTTCTTAATAGTGAATGCTTTAAAAATTGTCACAAAATGGAAGTTTTCCCGGGATGGAAAGCAAAAGGGGAAAGCTGCTGTAATTGGGAGTACAAGGGGCCCCCCAAAAGGGAGCCCCACGTCAGCATCACTGCCTTAATCGAAGCCTCCCCAGGGGTTGGGTGGGGTTCTCCTGTCTTCCCTCCTTCCCCAGCTGTTTTTTCCCTGGAGGCAGGTGTCAGACATGGTGAACTTTTTCAGGCAAGAGGACACCTCCCCTCCCCTTACCCTTTCCGCTCCCACATGCAGGCCCCAGCTGAGGAGCTGCCCAGCTTCCTGCACAGCAGGTGAGGTGGCAGCTCAGTGTTCTGAGTGGTAGCTGGCTGTCACACCTTCTCAACACTGTGGTGCCACCTCCCTCCTTCCCCTCAGGGCTGTAAGACCTTGTCTCTCCCTTTGGTATCACAGAAGTGAAACAGAGCCCTCCCTCAGCATCATTCCCTAGTGTGTGCAGCGTTCTGCTGGCAGGGGAAGAGGTGCTACCCAGGAATGATCCTCCTGAAGGAAAATGGGGGCTTCTGACTCTGAGGCTCTGGCCCAGGCCTCTATCCTAATATGGGCTTGGGGGATACTTTCCCAAGCCCTACCCTAGGGGTTAGACCCTGGGCCAAATCTGCCATCTGGGCCTGATCAAGCTTTTCTGATTAAATAAGCAATAAAAGGCTCTGCTGATCCAGTTTTTAGGGCCCTTCTGCCATCTTTGGGGTCTCCATGTTTTTCCAGGTGGAGGAAGAGCCCAGATTCCCCCTTTCCTATCAGGCTTGTCCCAGTATGACTCAGGAGTAGAGCCCAGGTAGCTCGGTGGAGGTGTCCCTGCCGTGTCCGCAGGAGACCCTGCTCTGCAGGCCTGGCTCTCAGCAGAACCCTGCCCTGCCCACCTGCATTTCCTCAGCAGAAACACCGTATTTCCATTTGCCCCTCTCCCTTCCCTGGAGAAACAACTCAGCCAAATAAATCTAAACGGTCCGTCCGTGTGGACCAGAGCCTGCCTGAAGTCATGGTTTACTGCCTCATTTCCAGGCCCAAGGCATGGTAGGGGCCAGTGATGGTTGCAAAACTTGCTCCTTAGAGGAATCAGGCCTGACTCAATATTGGAGGAGGGCAAGACTAAGGGAACTAGTTCATCCCAGGGTCTGTTCTGGGGCTTCCCACTGCCCTTCCCTTCTGAGGCTGGTCTTCGGGAGGCAGGCTACCGTGCCGGTCAGCCCCAATTCAAGCCATGCCAGGAATCTGCCCACCTGTCAGGGTCAGTTCTGTCAGGTGCCTCTTGAGGGACACAGTGTGTCTCTCTGATTGGGCTAAATCAAAAGCCTGATGTTCGTGTCCCTCTCATAGGGGGAGCTTTGGACACAGGACCAGTCTGGAAAGGGTCAGTAAGAGTCACCACTCTGCACATTGTAGAGGGGACACTGGAGGCCTATAGGTCCCTTGCTTAGAGGTTGAGTAAATTTGCCTTCAGTTACCTGGGGCCTTCTGTTTAGTTGCCTCCTGCCTCCCAAAGATTTTGACCATTTTTTAAGTGTACAAATTCACCTCTATTAACTATAGCCCAGAAGCTTCTTTGTGCTAAAAGCATGGAAGTCTAAAGGCACTCATTCCCAGGGAAGTGCATCCCGTTCAGTTCTGCCCCCAGCCTGTTTCCGAGGCCTCATTCAGCAGGGCAGTCCCCTTGTAAGGCTGTCCTAAATCCCGTGTCCCCTGGCAGGCCCAGCATCTGGAAGGTAAGCCTATTTTCCCTCCAGGTCTTCAGTTGGTTACTTAACCATTATCGACCCTCAGTCACCTTTTGTAAAATGGGGTTTTACTTTTGTCTTTCTGTTTTTTATTTTGTAATACTGGTAAATATTTGCATTCAAATGGGGGAGGGAAGGCAGAGGTCTGGCCCTGTCCTGTTCCTTTAGTGCTGTAAGGCCTGCCGCTGAATTTGGGCCCCGTGAGCTTCTTTCTTGTAGTAATTCCAGGTTTGCTGTTTCACGTTGTGCCACTTTTCCCCCTTCAAGGTGCCATTTGGAGGGTGGGGATGTTTCCCACTGTGACTGGGGTATGGAACTCTGACTACATTGCTCTCAGATTTATGGTTTGATAAATTTGTTGTATTCGAAAACTTGAAATGTAGGACGCCATTAAGTGTCTGTTTATATTTTTGGAATATTTGTAATACTTACAATTAATAAAAGAGGGTTTAAAAAACCCATCCAGGAATGGGAGCTGCCTCCTGGCCCTGCTGTTCATTCGGGCACTCACCAGGCATACCCTTCTTCCCTTGCAACACCCATCATGACGAGGCTGGGGTACCCAGGCTGGGCAAGCCATTGCCTCTGACTGGGAGGCCAGCTGTGAACTGAGCACTGGGCTTCTTCTCAGGGATACATAAATCAGGCCGTATTAGTTCTTCTCTGGCCCATTTAGAACCAACTCCATTGCCCTTCAGGTGCTTGAGCAATATGTTTGGTGTCCTGTTGACCTCTGGGGGTGAACCTGAAGGCCCAAGAAAGGGCCTTAGAGTGTCCATTCCTCTGTGCCCCTTACTGATTCTTCCAAATCAGGATACTTGAAACTCAGAGCCCAGTAGGGTTCTAGGCACATAGTAGACACTCAAACATTGATTAGACTGTTGTATGACCCCAAGGAGCAAAACAGGATGCCTAATATCCTCCTAGCTGCTCTGCTAGACCTCAGAAATGCCAAAAGCTTCTCAGGGAGGCTCTTGCCTGCGCAGACATCCCAGGCTCTCAGTAGCAGCTCCAGCCCCTGCCTTCTGTCATCAGCATAATGCATCCATATCTACAATATGGCAAATTCCATATCCTTCCACCCTCTTTCCTGCATTATTGATGGGCTATGCACTTTTTAAAAATCAATTTGATCAGGGCGTGGAGCTGGAGTTAGAAAAGCCTTTAAAAGTCTGCTCTTGTTTTTATTGTTCTGCATAGGAACAGATAAGACTTTCCCTCTGGTTTGACTAAGTCAAGCCCAGAGCTAGGTTGGCCGTGATTGGCCAGTCCTAGGAAAATGCGGTTAAGATGCATACATAAGCAAATAGAACCCAGTGTCTGTGCAGCCATTACTAAGCTTAGGCAGCAGGACCTGGAACCGCCCACGCTGAGCTCAGGTTTTTCAGTGCCCCTGTTTGCTGGTCAGAAGGCTGGGAAGATTGGTGGGAGAGACGGCAAAGGTAAGGCCTGTTTGGCTTGTGGGTGCCATCAGTATAGTGGTCCTACTGAACAGGGAAGAAATGAAAGGGAGAGATGGAAATTCCTGGCTTTTTCTTCTTGGATGAGGCTTTTAAAGCGTTGAACCAGGAGTTGTTGCAAACTTCCTGCTGAGAAATCGAACCCCTTTTTAGAGACCACTGAAAAGATAGGGCACATTTTTAAAAGTATGGTATCAGAAAGATGGTACGGGCAAGGCAGAAGCTAAAACCAGTTTCCTGTGCCTGTGAGCCATTCATGGGGTATCTAAGAATTAATGACCACTGGCTTTTAACCTGGGATTTCAAAACAGCACCCCACCTCAGGGGTTTCTGCGATGGTCTCAAAGGGTATTGAATTAATAAATGAGGACTTGGGGAGGAGGGAGGGAAAGACAGAGCTTTGAGTCACAGATGGAATCACATTTTCTGGGAGTTTGGTGTGGCAGGAGGGCCCTTCTCCGAGCATGTTCTCTCCTGCCTTGAGGGACCCTGGCCCAGTGAGCTTCTGCCAACTGCCAACTGTCCCTGCTGGGGACAGGACTGCCTTTGGCCTGTGAGACTCAGTCCTAATTAATGCCAGCTTTTATCAGGCTGACATGTATCTCCAAGGAATGAATGCATTGGTCCTTATCCCCTTCCCCTAGTTGGGTCATGGCATTTGCCTTGAAATACTGAAATCTAGGGTCTGAAGGAAGCCTGAACAATCCTGACAATGCTCCCTGGTAGTTCCAGGCAGCACAGGGTGGGGCAGTGCCAGATAGCAAATCAAACCCTCAAACATCGGTTGCTGTGCTCCCTGGCTCTGCTTAGTCCTGCTATAATAGACAAGGGAGTTTGTGCTTTGTGTTTCTGCCTAAGTCCACACTAGATGAGGGCACAGATTCTCCAAACCCAGCGTCATCCACTAAGGCTCCAAGACAGAATAGCCGGACATGCTCCTCTTAAGCACAATATGCCTCCAAATAGCAAAACTCCATACAGTCCTGTTTGGCTTTTTTACCGTATGTAAGTCTGTCAAGCCCGTCCTTCTTCCTTTGCCTCTTGGAAGCATTAATCAGTTACACAAATTATCAATCACAAACTCCCTGAGAGCAAGAACCAGGCAGTCCTCAGTCACATAAAGCCACTCTGTGTCCCCAGACATGTAGTGTAGGTTCTTGATAACGCTAATATGACTGAGTATAGATGGTGCAGGAGGCACGCAACCTCCCTCCTCACTGCCTCTTCCCCATCTGCCCCTGGCCTGGGAGGCAGGCCATGCACCACTGGCCCTGTGGGGTCTATGTGCCAGGGCCCGGGAGGGCATCTGCCCACAGGCACACCAGGCAGTGCCTGTGCTCCCCTGCTGGCACCTGAAGTGTCCAGACCTGACCCTGTCATGTTACTTTCCCTTTTCTTCAGTGAGGCACAGGGAATACAGTGGTCCTATGACGAGTGTTGTTTGAGGATTATTTAATTACAGTTGGAAAGTAAAAACACAAAGAGAGGGTCGGAAAGAGTTGCTGGCAGGCAGGGGGTCTGAGAAGAGTTAGAGGGGATGGGGGCAGAGAAGACAACCAGTTTGGAAATACCTATTCCAACATGGGGAAAAGCTTTGCCCCTGAGTCTGGATAAGTTTAGCAAGGATTGCAGTACATCAATGATTAAAGGCATAGGTTTTAGGGTCATTGTGGGACATGGGCAAATTATTTAATGTCTCTGAACCTCAACTTTCCTACAGAGTAAGAGGAAAACATACTTAGTTTGTGAGAATTCAATGAGACAATATAAAGGACTTAACATGTTTGTCACCCCTTCAGTAAATAATCTTGGCTATTAACAGAGCTCTTAACAAAGGAAGTGGCTAGTGGGAAGCCAATTCTGGGTGGGGTCCCCAGGCCGGCCAGGCTTACATGTGAGCTTGGACAAGTCATTTCCCCCATCACCAAAATGGAGCAGGGATTCACCACAAGGACATGGCAGGATGGCCGACAAAAGTTCGGGAAGTGAGTGAGAAGAAAAGCTGGTTGGATGCCCACTGCTAGAGGCATCATCTTGGCTGCCTCTCTGCAATGTTTCAGTTCCAGCACCATGTCTCTGAGCAGCGCCTTCAGGGCTGTGGGCAACGACCCCGGGATCATCACCTGGAGAATAGAGGTGAGCTCCCCGTCGGAGTCACACCCTCCTCCTCACCCTGGGTCTGGGGACAGACTCCGGTCACGTGCGTCTGCTCGCTGACAGCCCTTCCGCATTCTACCTCCTTCCCAGGATTCAGAAACAGTCCGACGCTGCCTTCCAGTGCACCTTTCCCTAGGCTTGACTCCTCCTGGGTTATCCAAAGCAACTGGTGGCCGGTGGAGGAAATGCTCTTGGCCCTGGAAAGCAGGGCTCCAGAAAAAAGTGGGCTTGCTCTTTATTCAGCCATCTGCTTAGGGAGTCTGCACTTCCAGTAAATGCCCTGGAGAGATGGGTGGGGCCTGAGCCCAGTCAGGTGATGAAGACTCTTGGCTGCTTCTGACAGAACAACGGGGACCTGTGTTCCACAGGGCACTCTGGCTTCTGTGAAACAGCAGGGAGATTTGGGGGTTGCTGGACAGACTGGGCTCTGCTCATCCCTTCTTCACCCCCTCCCCACTGCCCCGAGCTTGAGCCCCTCATGCTGACCTCAGGCTCCAGCAATCTGTAGCTGGAAAGCTCCTTGGCCTGTGCAGCCCCATCTGCCAGATGTAAGGGCCCTCTGCTCCCCTCCCTGAGCCCCGCTTCTTTGAGCCCAGAGAGTGGCTACTGCATTAAGCCCAGAGCCCTTTAGGCTCCCAGTTTATTTCAAAATGAATGATTTTTAATTCTTTAAATTTTTTTGTGACTAAGAGTCACAAAAACTGGTATGTTCAACATTTTTACATTTAACACACATTTTACATGGACTACATGCACATATGACTGCAGGTTTATGTCAGTTGGAGATAGTGATGAGAAGCCGCACCGAGGCCACGTGAATGGCCCTCCTGGGACAAGCCATACCTGCAGGTGACAAAATAGGGCAAGACTCCATATATGGGACCCTCAGCAGAAGCCACACACCATGCTGGCCCTCTCCCACCACAGCCCCACAGAACCCCACTGTTCTGTTCTCTCAGATCCTGGCCAGCACTGGGTGGTCAGAGCTGGGGAACAGTGTTCGTAACCCTGGTGTGGCTGCTCAGAGGTGGGATTTTACTTGATAGCTTATATCTAACTCTTCCCTGCAAAGACAGCAGGTGGCTTACCAGGCTCCTCACAATGTAGCAAGACACCAAGCAGACAATGGGGAGGATGGAATGAGGACGGTCCCAGATTCGGACCTAGGACCATGTAGGCATTGCTCAGCAGAAGTGAGAGGGGTGGCCACACCAACCCTATGGCTGGCTGGTACACCCTGCAAAATCTGTGGGGACATCTCCCCTGCCCCCCGAGCTACCTGATGGAGAGGAAGGGGAGATGGGGAAGGGGGTAGGGGAATATACACACTACTTTTCCTTCCAGAAAATGGAGCTGGTGCTGGTGCCCTTGAGTGCCCATGGCAACTTCTATGAGGGGGACTGCTATGTCGTCCTCTCGGTGAGCACCACCCCCGAACCCATGAGCTTCCCCTGAGAGCCAGTTTCTGGGCTCCATTCAGAGAGCTGCTGCTGATGCTACTCACACCCTTGGTGGCCTCTGGATTCCCCCTCAGCATCATACAGAGCAGTTTGACTATCAAAAGCCCTTCTTAGGCTGGGGTTTTAAATTCTGCAGCAAAGGTTGGGGGTGATCCTCAGTGTGAACCTCAGCAAGCAGCCCACAAACAGTGCTTCTCCCCCTGGGGCCCAGACCCCAGATTAGCGGGGTGTGGAGGGAGGCCCTGTGAATGCAGGCTGCCTCCGGCCCCCGAGTGCTCATTCTAGCTCTAGCGGAGCAAACAAGAGCCCCCGTGAACAGTGCTGACAGTGCCCACAGATGGACAGGTCACTCAGAGCCAGCTGTGTGAGTGCAGGGCCACAGGGCAGCAGCGAGCTAAGTCCACAGCCCAACTTGGCAGAGATCCTCCCTGGTCTCCATCTGTTTTGAGAACAATAGGCTGGCCACTCTCCCCACATGTGAGGAGGAACTGAGGCTTCCAGAACCAGAGCCTCATAGCAGGTCTGCTTGGGGCCACTGTAGGGAGGGAGAGAGGCCCTGAGCCAGGGCAGAACCCAAGCCCATCGGCTGTGTTCTTCCCATGCCTGAGGAGCCAGCAGCAAGGGGGAGGTTAGCTGGCTGCTGACCCACTCTCTGGCTACATTCCCAGACCCGGAGAGTGGGCAGCCTCCTCTCTCAGGACATCCACTTCTGGATTGGGAAGAACTCCTCCCAGGATGAGCAGAGCTGTGCAGCCATCTACACCACACAACTGGATGACTACCTGGGGGGCAGCCCTGTGCAGCACCGAGAGGTCCAGTACCACGAGTCTGACACCTTCCACGGCTACTTCAAGCAGGGCATCATGTGAGTAGTTATGCATGAAGCAAAGACCTGAGTGGCAATTCACCAAGGAGGAAACCAAAGGGCCAATAAGTATATGAAGAAAGTAGTCAGAAAATGCAAGTCAAAAGAAAGTCATCACTTCAGCCCGTTAGCAAACTGGAGAGGTGAATGGTGCCAGCTGTTGGCAAGGCTGTGGAGAGAGAGGTGCCCTCGTGCCCTACTGGAGGAAGTGAGGACTGGCTCAGCATTCTGGACCTGCTGGACCAGCATTCTGCAGCCTGCTGCTTCTGAGGTAGATCCCATTTCTGGGTGCATAACTCCAAGGAATTCTCCGGTACCCAGGTTCAGGGGGCACATGAACCAGAATGTTCACAGCTGTATCTCTAGTGGTGGTGTGAAACTGCAGGCAACGTAGCGTGCCCATCACTGGGAGACTAGACAGAATGATACTCCATGACCCAGGGCACTCAGGGCGATGGATTAGATACACACCTAACATGTGGACAGAGCTTAAACCACAGTACTTAGTGAGCAAAGGAAGGAACAGACTTGGGATGTGTAACAGAGTGCCCATTTCTGTTTGAGAAAAAACACATGCACACAAAAACAGGATACATTTTATCAGAACAAAACAAAATATGTTTAACTGTTAGAATGGGTGCTTTGGTGGGGAGAGGAATGGGAGGAGCAGGGTATGCAGGTAAAGGGGGTCCATAAATGCTAAAACATGCAAGGGGGCCTGTAAAGGCCAATGATGACCATGTTCCAGGAACTGAGTTTAATTGATTCAAAACTTTGCACTTGGGCTTAGAAAGAGAAAGAAGGATCCTGGTGAACGCGAGAACTCCACTGTGGGGTCTTCATCACTAGTCTGGGGCACTAGCTCTCTGGTTGCTGGTTCCTATTCCTCCTAATATCTCAGCTTGAATGTCACTCCAGCAGAGATGACTCCCTGATTGCTCTGCCAAAAAACCAGTCACTGAGTTCACTTCTGTGGCAGCAGTTACCACCTAGTACACTTCCCTTATTTACTGTTGTCACCCACATAGGCACATGAGCACACGAGCAGAGACTGCATCTGTGTGACTCACAACTGCCTCCCTGGTTACCTAGCACACAGCAGGTGCCCAATAAATAACTGAATGGATGTTTCCTCAGCTACAAGAAAGGGGGTGTGGCCTCTGGGATGAAGCACGTGGAGACCAACACCTACGATGTGAAGCGGCTGCTACACGTGAAGGGGAAGAGAAACATCAGGGCCACTGAGGCAAGTCCTGCCCATTGCCCATCCCGGGCCCAGGGCCTCTCCCCCGGCACCTAGGAAATCCTCCTGAGGGATGTCCACCTCTCTTCTGCAGGTGGAAATGAACTGGGACAGTTTTAACCGAGGTGATGTCTTCTTGCTGGACCTCGGAAAGGCTATCATCCAATGGAATGGCCCAGACAGCAACCGTGGGGAGTGCCTGAAGGTAGGGCTCTTTCCAGCCTCAGCGCCCCTCGCCTTCAGGCCTGCTGCTGGGGCTTACACTCTCTCAGGGACCTTTTCCTCCTTCCTCACCAGCTCTCCCCGAGATGCAAGCTGGACCTGCACTGTTGAGTAGACAGGCAAAATGCATGCATCTGTGACCCCTCTGGCTCCTCAGCAACAGAATAACCCATGTCTGGAGTCAGGCTGCTCCACCTGAAGCCATCAGGCACAAAGGGGCTAGAGGGACTGAGTGTGTCTTTGGGTTTCTCTGACAGGCTATGCTTCTGGCAAAGGATATTCGGGACAGGGAGCGAGGGGGCCATGCTGAACTAGGAGTGATAGAGGGAGACAAGGAGGCCGCAAGCCCAGAGCTGATGAAGGTGCTTCAGGACACCCTTGGACAACGCTCCATTATCAAGCCTGCGGTCCCTGATGAGATCAGAGATCAACAGCAGAAATCAAGTATCATGTTGTATCAGTGAGTAGCTAAAGATGGTTGCTGGTTGGGAGCTGGGGTAGCAGGAAGATGTCCCCTAGAAAACCAGGCACCTCTGCTTGGCTCCTTGCACAAGGTGCAGACATCCAGCTTTCTTTCTGTCCTTTTCAAATGCAGCTTCTAGAAGGAGCTCGGTGTTGCCCCACCCAAGGGGACAGCTACCGTCTGGTCTTGTTAGCAACTCTTCCTGGTCTCCTGGGAAGATCCTTCCTTTACTCAGGTCTATGCATGCGCAGGGATGTGGGGGGACAATGTTCCAGACGCAGAGGCACAAAAGTTTCCCCTAGAGGGCAGGACATCTGCGTTCAAGCCACACCTGTGATAGGAAGTCACACTACCAAGAGACTCTCTACACTAAAGAAAGCCAGGAAAATATTGATTGGCTACAAAATGCTTTTTAGAAGAGAAGGCACAGGCTAACTTCTCTCCTTCTCCAGTGTCTCAGACTCGGCTGGGCAGCTGGCAGTCACAGAGATAGCAACAAGGCCACTGGTCCAGGACTTACTGAACCATGATGTAAGCAGAGCTTGGATGGGCTTGGCATGGGGTGGCCAAACCTGGCTTCAGAGGCAGACCCGGGTAAGGCCTTCCTGTGGTCCTGAGTGGCACTGACCACTTTTTTCCCTGACTGCTTCAGGACTGCTATATCCTGGACCAAAGTGGAACCAAGATCTACGTGTGGAAAGGAAGAGGAGCCACAAAGGTTGAGAAACAGACAGCCATCTCTAAAGCCCTGGTAGGAACTACAAATGTGCAATATTGTCCAAAACATTGTTACGAACCCTTCAGATGTGTTCAGAGAGCCATACTAGGCACTTGAGCATATAGTGTGGACTTCAGTCGGACAAACTGTGATTCAAATCCAGGTTTAATACCCACCTCCTAGGGTTGTCGTGAGGATTAGATAACATTTGTAAAGCACTTGGGATAGAACCTGGCACACACAGTTGCTCAATAAAAGGTGGCCATTATTATCAAAGAGGGTATCCCATATCAAGGTTAAAGGCCCTGTCCTCAAGGAGCTTATGGTATTGTACAGACCCACACAGATGAGCCTAGCAGGATGCATTTACAAAGCAATAAATGAGCAAATGAATGTGACACGGAGTCAGCAGAGTATGTGAGTGCTCACAGAAAACAGTACAGAGGGTCTTGAAAAAATTATCAACAGAACATGACAGACCAATGAAGAGATGCTGAAATGTTCCCTCAGTCCTGGTCTTGCGACAGGGAACTTGGTCCCTAGGCAGAAGTGAGTTAGATTTTGACTCTAACCCTGGAAGGGAGCAATCCTACCACCTGGCTTCAAAGGGGTGAGTTACCAGCCAAGCCAAGAAGCCCATGCACTCTGTGGTTGACTGGCTTTTGGGGCTGGGGGTGTCTGCAGAACTTCATCATGATGAAGGGCTACCCCAGCAGCACCAATGTGGAAACTGTTAACGATGGTGCCGAGTCAGCCATGTTCACGCAGCTGTTTCAGAAGTGGTCAGTGAGGCAGCAGACGGTGGGCCTGGGGAGAACATTCACCATTGGTGAAACGGGTGAGACTGCCCCCAGATCATCCTCCCACTACTGGGACTCTAGAAAGGCAGGCACAGATGCTTTTCACTCACTTGGCTTCTCCCAACCTCTTCTCTGCAGCTAAAGTTTTCCACGATAAATTTGATGTGACGCTGCTTCATGCCAAGCCAGCAGTAGCTGCCCAGGAAAGAATGGTCGATGATGGCAATGGAAAGGTGGAGGTAAGTCCAGTGACCCCCAGCTCACAGCAGGTGGCACTGGCCCTCCTGGCTGCCCTGCTGCAAAGGAGATGGCAGGTGTCTCCTTTGCTTAGCTCTTCACCTCTGGCACCTTGGGAGGGTTCTCTAGGAGGCATCCAAGTACGCAGCTTTCCGACATTCTTCAGGGACGTGAAAGGCCGCTCCCTAGGGTGCTACCAGTAACTCACCTAACAGATATATTCAAACCACTTCTGAGCTGTGATGGGGATACACCTGACCAGGGCCGATTCTCCTCAGGATTCAAATCATGCAAATAAGATAAGCCCTTACCACTGGGGAAGAACCAGAGGGGCAAGGGTAGGCTGAGTGGATGCCATTTCCTTACCCACCTGGGTGCTCTGCTAAGCATCCCTTCAGGTAGCTTTCCTTCAGGTAGCTGTCTCTTCAAGTAGGACCCCCTCTCGGTGGAATTGTATCTCCTTGTATGCCCAGGTTTGGAGAATTGAAAATCTGAAGCTGGTCCCTCTGGAGCATCAGTGGTATGGCTTCTTTTATGGGGGAGACTGCTATCTGGTTCTCTACACATATGAGGCGATTGGGAAGCCATGTTACGTCCTGTACATCTGGCAGGTAGGCCTGAGGCAGCCTCTCAGCTCCGGACCCTGATGCTTCCTCTGGCCACTGAGCTGCGGCCGGGGTAGCAGGGGCCCATCACACCTCTCACCACTGCAGGGCCGCCACGCCTCACAAGATGAGCTGGTGGCCTCAGCATACCAGGCAGTAGAGTTGGAGCAGCAGTTGGACAGGGCCTCTGTCCAGGTTCGAGTTTCCATGGGGAAAGAGCCACGTCACTTCATGGCCATCTTCAAAGGAAAGCTGGTGATCTTTGAGGTAAGAATTACAGGTAAAAGTGTACCATGAGCAGGGATACTAGGACTACAAGCCAGAGGGGACTCCCACAGAACAGTGGGAAACAGGGAGCAGGGCTTAGGCAGACACAGACAAGAAGGGGGTTACTCTAAGGCACTCAAGCAAATTCCAACTTTCAGGGCTTCAAGTCCACCTGCCTAGTTAATGTTCAAGGTCACCTAGGATCTGGCCCATCCTACCTGTGCACGTGCATACCCTCAGGTCCCTAACCCATATACTCTCCTCTAGTCAGATGGGTCTCCTCCTTAGACCTCACATGTGCCATATCATGCCGCATCTACCCCACCACCACCCAGATGTGGCCTGTCAAACTCAAGTCCCACTTTTTCCACAAAGCCCTGGTTGAAGCACTGCCAGGATGTGCAGTGTCACATGCTTGGTATTACACAAGCCTATGGTCAAGTCCTAGTCTTGTCATTTATTAGCCAAGTTTCTAAATCTCAGTTTCCCCATCTTTACTGTAGGATAATAATACGTACTTCACAGAGTTATTATGAAGATCAGTGAAATGATTTAGTAAGGCACCAGCCAAAGCCTGGCATATAATAAAGGTCTCAGAATGAAAGTTAAAATTATTGTTAATGTAACTCCAGCTCTCCTGACTTCATTTGCTTAGAAGCTCCTCCAGGGCAAAGATGGTGTCAAATACATCCATGTTCTCCACAACAGCTAGCCCAGTACTCTGCTCACATTGTGCTTCTTAGAACCAGACTCTGCTTTTCTTCTTTTCTTCAGGGTGGGACTTCCAGAAAGGGAAATGTGGAGCCTGACCCCCCTGTAAGGCTCTTCCAGATTCAAGGAAATGACATATCTAACACCAAAGCAGTGGAGGTTCCAGCCTTTGCCTCCTCCCTAAACTCCAATGATGTCTTTCTGCTGCAGACCCAGGCAGAGCACTATCTGTGGTTTGGCAAGGTAGGCTGGCTGGGCCCGGTGGACACAGGGCAATGAACTCAATAGTAGGCTGGAGCAGTCCTCAAGATGAACCTTTATCCTAAAGGATCTTCAAAGGGACTGCCAACATTTCCCACAATTAGAAACCCACTGACAGCACTGCTCCACCTAGGAAACATTCCATTAGCTTCTACACAGGTGCAAGCTAGAAAAGGAGATCTTTCCGTATCAGTTTGGGTAACACTGAATGGAAACACTAAAAATATGATTTTGTCAGTTCAGATTGCATCTGCCTGAAAAAAGCACGGAAGTTGTTTTACAAAAGAGAATTGAGCAGGAAAAGATACTCAACATCAAGGAAATGCAAGTGAAAACCACGCTTATTAGAATGGCTAAAAAGACACCAGCAATATCAAGTGTACACAAGCATGCAGAGCAGCAGGAACTGGCCACATGGTGCTGGTGGAAATGCAGATACAGACTCTGGAAAACAATATGACAGTTTCTTATATAAAATATATACTTACCATATGATAGAGAGAACCAAGATGGCGGCATGAGTAGAGCAGCGGAAATCTCCTCCCAAAACCACATACATTTTTGAAAATACAACAAATACAACTCTCCCTAAAAGAGAGACCAGAAGACACAGGACAACAGCCAGACTACATCCACACCCACAAGAACCCAGCGCCTCGCAAAGGGGGTAAGATACAAGCCCCAGCCCGGTGGGACCCGAGCACCCCTCACCCCAGCTCCCGGCGGGAGGAGAGGAGTCAGAGCAGGGAGGGAGAGGGAGCCCAGGACAGCTAAACACCAATCCCTAGTCATCTGCACCAGAGCGCAGACACAGTGCGTGCATGGGGTGCTGAAAACTAGGGAACCAGGACAGTAAGACCTGTGAGTGGGTCCCCGCAGCCGGCGCACCCCTGGGACAAAGAAAAGCAAGTGCTTTTCGAAAGTCTTAAAGGGACAGGGACCCCACAGCTGGATGGAAGTGCCCCGGAACACCTAGCCCAGCAGCAGGGAATCCTGGGGAACTCTGGGCACCCAAACCCCCGCAGCGCAGCTCGGAGGCCCCTCACCACGATAAACAGCCTCCCGCCTGTTCCCCCTCCAACACGGCTCTGCCATATTGGAGAAGCAGCCTGAGGCAGGCCATGCCCACAGCAACTGCAGAGCTAAATAAACTCCATAGCGGCCGGGCAAGATCAGAAGCCCCATCTGCAAGCAGCTGCCCAGCACAAGCCGCTAGCGGCCGCCGTTCTCCCAGGAGAGGAAGGCCACAAACTGGCAAGAAGGGACTTTCTCTTACCCAACACACGCACCAGCTCCCCACAAATATATCTATCACTATGAAAAGGCAGAAGAAATTGATACAGACCAAGATCACAGAGGCAAACCCTGAGGAGATAGACCTAACCAGTCTTCCTGAAAAAGAATTAAAAATAAAGCTCATAACCATGCTGATGGAGTTGCAGAGAAATATGCAAGAGCTAAGGGATGAAGTCCAGAGGGAGATTATAGACGTCTGGAGGGAGATTACAGAAGTGAAACAAACTCTGGAAGGATTTATAAGCAGAATGGATAAGATGCAAGAGGCCATTGAAGGAATAGAAACCAGAGAACAGGAACACATAGAAGCTGATGCAGAGAGAGACAAAAGGATCTCCAGGAATGAAACAATATTAAGAGAACTGTATGACCAATCCAAAAGGAACAATATCCGCATTATAGGGGTACTAGAAGAAGAAAAGAGAGAGAAAGGGATAGAAAGTGTATTTGAAGAAATAATTGCTGAAAATTTCCCCAAACTGGGGGAGGAAATAATCGATCAGACCATGGAAGTGTACAGAACTCCCAACAGAAAGGACCCAAGAAGGACAACACCAAGAAACATAATAATTAAAATGGCAAAGGTCAAGGACAAGGACAGAGTTTTAAAGGCAGCTAGAGAGAGGAAAAAGGTCACCTACAAAGGAAAACCCATCAGGCTATTAT